AGGGTTTGGGGTTTGGGGCTTTGGGTGTGGGGGCTTCTCAGCCATGGGTTTGAGGGTCGCCGCTGGGTTCGCAAAGCTGCGCAGGCTGCGATCCTCTACGCATTCCCGCCCGTGAGTTGCGAAGCTCTTCGAGCCAAAGCCCGTAAGACCCGGACATCAAATCCTAAACCCTAAACCCTAAATCAATGCTAAAGGCTGCGGACTAAAAGTTCCAGAAGAGCCGCAAAGCCGCAAAGTCTGAAAATCATGCAAACCTACTAGACCCTAGGAGCCGAGTAGCCTCTGCATTTTAAAGGGGCCTAAACCATTACCAATGCTACTTTGGGGGCTCCTTTTTGGAGTTGTAGTATATGATATACTGATATACCCCAAGACCCTCTTCTAATGATTAAGGCCCCTATATTTCTCTGTTTTTTACACGGACGGCAAAACCCAGTAGAACCCACGGCCTGAGTGTTGAGGGGTGCTCATGAGAGGTGAGGATTGTGCGAATCCACCACAAGGACCAAAGCATTCAGGCCGGGAACAAACCCATGGAGGTTGAGGCTTCATTGAAGTTGAAGCAATGAAGGGGCGAGAATGTAGTTACTTACCTTTCCTGATGTGCTCCTATTGTAAGAAGACGGGAAACTGCACCAAAGCACCCGTCTAGTTATTGAGGCCTCTATGTTAAAAGCTTTGCATGCAGCCCGCACTTGCTCAGATACGCTACCACGGTTTAGGGTTTAGGGCTTCAAGGTTTGGGGTTTAGGGTACGAGGCTCCTGCCTCTATGCAGATATGGTGCAGTCAGTAACTTATGCCGCATCGATTGGATAAGTGGGGGGGAGTCTCTGTCTGTAACCTGAAGGACTTGCAGCTATAAAGGCCCCCCTACCATATTCCTTCTGAGCTTACATGGTCCACTAAAAGAAGGCATCCAGCTGCGGCAGTTCCGCTGAGCTTCAAAACTGCCGTTGTCATGCGCCTATCTGCAGGAGCCCCTCAACCCTAAACCCTAAAACCCAAAACAAATGGATCCTCGCCTGGCTTGTCCGAGCTGTGATAGTGTAAAACCCCAAACCCAAAACCCTGCAACCCCAAACCAAACACCCTAAACCCAAATCCCCAAAACCCTGAACCCTAAATCCCAACCCCCAAACCCTACACCCAAAACCCTATAACCCTACTCCTTAAAACACAGAATCTGGCCAAGCCCTGAGCGCTAAACGCCCTGAGCCCGATCCTAAAGGGCCGAAGCATTAGGGTTTAGGGTTTAGGGTTTAGGGAAGGTCTTGCCTAAACCCTAAAACCCTTAAACTCTAAACAAACCCTTTTCAAGGTCTTCCGACTTGCCCATAATTTTCCCATAGAGTGATTGTACTTTGATTTCAGAAACTTCTTTATTAACAAAAACCTCAAGGGCCTATCAAAACAGTTTGTAATTAAAAGCCTTGCAGTAAAGTAGGTCATAACCTTGAACTCTTGAACCCCCAGGCCACGCAGCCCGATAAACTAAAACAAAACCCTGAAACCCCATATAAATCCTGGCCAAGCCCTGCCAGGCTTTGTCCGAGTGTGAGTGCCGAAAAACCCCTGGCTGCCTTCACAGGTCGCTTGGGCTGGAGAGCGGCGGCGGCCTGCACGGAAGGTGACTCTCATGGTTTGCATTCGAGTCCGAAGGGGTCAGGCCTTGCAAGGGTGTGTAATTAAGAGTTCTATGCGAGTTTGAGTCTATTCGGAGAGTCCATACTTATACGACACTCTAAAATCCAGCTACCCGGATAGTTTGGCTTCAGGTGCCAGGAGCCCTTCAGAGCATATTCGGTAGTTTCTGGGTTTTGGTCCCGGGATGGCGGGTGTCTCGTGTAAGATTCGGATTAGGGTTTAGGGTTTAGGCCCTATGGCATGTTTGCAGATCGAAGCTTGAGTAATTCTTGCCGACATTATTCCTTAGGGCAGCTTATATATAGCCGCATACTTATAAACCCTAAACCCTAGCTTAAATATAGCCATATACCCTAAACCCTAAACCCTAAATAAGAGAAGGTATCCCAAAGCAGTCATGTCCTCGGCTCCAGAGCTAGATGCCTGTTTAGGGTTTAGGGTTTAGGGTTTAGGCCGAAAAGTCTCGGCACATGCCGCGTGAAACGAAGCCAGCAAGTTGGAGCAGTCGCATCTCCCCCAGCCGTCAACCTCGAACAACGAGGACTGGATTAATATAGGGGCCTTTATACTTAGAATAGGGTTTTGGGGCCCATTATACTATAGTTATAACAAAGAGCTCCCAAAATAGTATTAGTAATCATTTAGGCCCCTATATTCGGATAAGATAACAGTCCCTGTCGGAATTGTAAGGCCTTTGCAGCAACTCCCGGCCGAACGAGTCATACACTTGCGGGTTAGGGGTTTGCGGTGTGGGTGCTAGCATAATTTGGCAAGTGTTAAGGAACAGCATCCCGCTGTGTAGGGAATTGGGCTTTGAGGGTTATGGAGGGAAGAAGTTCCAAGGGCGAAGTAGTGCTTACCCGTTCCGTGGGTTTTGCTCGCAGGGGGGCGCAGTTGATCGACGGCCGATCAGGACCCTCGGAGGGAGAAATGCGGAATGTTGGCGCCTTTCGACCCTGAAAGCCTGAAAAAACCCTTGTTTATGCAAGGGCGATGGCCCATTAATTCTAAGGTAAATCACAGTTTTCCAGGCTGAAGGGTTTCGGGATTCCCGCGCCGCCCGCAAGCAATTGAAGGCTATGTGCGATGCACCAGCATCTAATTTTCAACCCTAAGCCCTAAGCCCGAAAGTCTGCACCCTAAATCCGCAGGCTCTTCGATCGCTCCGCTACCGGTGTCCGAGCACTCCCACATGTAGTCTTTCATAGTTAGCCCAAAGTGGACGAGGCCCGAAACGCGCGATCTTATGCGAGGATGAAGATGAGATTCAATGCCTTCGCAGACATTCCGACCACAAAGTGGCTGGAGGGGAAGGCTGGGTTAGGGCTTGTCGGGTTTATACTTAGGGTTCACAGGGTACTAGAGTTTATAGGGCTGGCGAGGCTGGGGTTAAGAACAGCGACCTGAGGTCTATCAAACCCTAAAGCCTATAGCCCTAAACCCTGCGAGGGGGAAAAGAGCCCTAAACCCTAAACACGATTCTTGGGTGAGTTCTGGGTTTTTGGGTCTCCGGGTCTCACGTCTCGAGCTTATGAGTACCGCAGGCGGTGTGTTCTGGGGAATTGGAGGGGTGTAATATTGGTAGTTCATTAAATTAGGGTAATATTGAGGTCCCCAAAACAGACGGCACCCTTAACGAAAGGGTCCTTTCCCTTTTATACGGGTGTCGTAATTTTTATTGGGGACCCTAATAGTTAAGGCCGAACAGAAGCTCTGGATCAGGGTTATTAGAATGTGAGTCTGTTGCATACTATGATGTTGTATATATGATCCCGGTTCGGCCG